GATTGAATTCCAGAGGAACATTTGGACTATACTGCCATGTTTGTGTTTTTGTAGACAGTGTCTGGTTTAGTGGCCACAGATTTTTTCTGGAACACCTGTCATGGTGTCCAGCTACCTGTTGCATCATGGTGGGTGGGTGTTGTTGTTTGCTTGGGATGATTTTACTTTCTTGATGCTATCAAGGTGTTCTACCATTGAACCACATCCCAACCCACATCACTGGTTTTCTTCAGTGTCTGAGGGATGCCCCATTAACTCCTCTGGGTACCTTTTCTGGTCTGTCTGACAGAAGGATAAAGGACTCTAGGGAATTCTCATTTTCCATTTGGATTTGATGGAGCTCTTAAGTTAAGCGAAGAACCAGACAGCCTCAGCTTCTCCTGAGGGGATTCACACATGTACTGTGCTTTCAGTGAGAAGTCTTTGTATTCAGTACCTTATGGAATCTTGTGGTGAAACATGCCCCTACATTCTTCTGTAGGGCTATGAAAACAGAACCATTAATACAAGCCTCATGTTTCCTCCAGGAAACCTGCATCTGAACCTTTGGTACCTCTCTCCTGCTTCAGCCTGTCTGAATATCCCTGAGCCCACATGCTTTCATTATTGTGAATACGAAGAAACACTTATTTGTATAGGAACAGAAAAGCTATAGTCAGACCTGTCTGCCTGGATTTCTGTGTATTTGGCTATTTCCAAGGGACTAGGGAGGTCTTAGTGGGAGATGAAAGGCTTCCTCCCTGGGCTGGGATGGTCCAGCAGCACTCTTCTTCCTCTGGGACCTGCTGTTGGAGAGATGGGCCCAGAACATCAAAGGTCAGAGGAAAAGCTTCTCCCTCAGCTGCAGCCAGGAAGTTGTCTGTAGAAGCCAGAGAACAAAGGCAACCCTGCCCACTGGGAGAGCTGTGGGCCCGCTTTAACTCTGTGCTTCTATTCTCAGTTGCACATGGATATCTCTGCAGAGTCCATGCATGCAACCACCTTCTCAGAACAGCAGTGAATATTTAGGCAGATTTGGGGATTGTTTCATCTGCAGACCAGAAACCTTTATTTCCTCTAATAACAATATTTTTAAAGGGGACTGGGAAACATTTCCATATGCAAAGAAGACAGAATGTAAGTCCTGTGTGACAAAGAAACAACCACCAAGAAAAATAAATTATTCCACATTACTTAAAAAAAAATAATAAAAATAATGGCATTCTAGTGAAGAATGCTATGCTATAAATCTAATTCTGGTCCAGAAACAACTCTACCCATGCTTCATTTCGTGAGAGAGTGGCTTCATGCTCTTAGCGTTCTTTGTGGCTACCCATTCCACAGGGCAGTGGTAGCCTGTGTCCTTGTCCTTGTACCCCAGTGGATACAACTAGCTGCCACCCCTCAGTTCTTGGCACAGACACAAGCAGTTCCGTGTCTCTCTTGGAACCACTTCTACCTCCTTGGTTCTTTGCTGTCTCCTATAACCCTGTCTGTCCTCAGATACTCCTGGTATCCCACGCTACTCTGTCACATGGCACCTTTCCCTCCAGGCAGCACGACGCCCAGGGGCACTGTGGGTGGCTGTGCCTTCTAGACCTCAAGAAGAAAGAATCTATTTCCGGTCCACTTTCAAGAAGACACTTGAAAGTACTCTATACTTGGCCCCTGAGCTCTTACCTTTGGGGGGATATTTTTAATAAGGCTGCTTTTCATTCAAGTATCTATTTTGATGAACTTTGTAATTAAGAGGAGAAGAATCTTGCAACTAGAAAGCACTACACCCCAAGAATAACCAGACCCAGAGTCTATGTATTTGAATGAACTTTTAATCAGTTAGAGTATCTGTTATGAGGCTGTGATGCTTCACACTAGAGGTTAACCTTTTCACTATTGAACATGTTTTTATGCATTTGTTCACCACTAACACCAAAATTGCATGACACAATTACATCTAGAAAATCAATTAGCTCAATAGCACACATCTGTGCCCCTTATTCAAATGCTGGAATGTATGTTTGTTTGTAGCTGTTCTCAATTTGTGAGGCATGACCCCTGTGGGGTCACATATCAGATATCCTGCATATCAGATAGTTACATCATGATTCTTAACAGTAGCAAAATTAAAGTAGCAATGAAAAATTGTATAGTTGGGGGTCACCACCACATGAGGGGCTGTTTTTTGGGTTTTTGGTTTTTTGTTTTGTTTTTGTTTTTGTTTTGTTTTGTTTTTGGTTTTTCGAGACAGGGTTTCTCTGTGGAGCCCTAGCTGTCCTGGAACTCACTCTGTAGACCAGGATGGCCTCAAACTCAGAAATCCGCCTGCCACCACTAGTCATCAGGGAAATGCAAATCAAAACAACCCTGAGATTCCATCTCACACCAGTCAGAATGACTAATATTAAAAACTCAGGTGATAGTAGATGCTGGCGAGGGTGTGGAGAAAGAGGAACACTCCTCCATTGTTGGTGGGATTGCAAGATGGTGCAACAACTTTGGAAATCAGTCTGGCGGTTCCTCAGAAAATTGGACATAGCATTACCCGAGGATCCAGCTATACCACTCCTAGGCATATACCCAGAAGATGCTCGAACATATAACAAGGACATATGCTCAACTATGTTCATAGCAGCCTTATTTATAATAGCCAGGAGCTGGAAAGAACCCAGATGTCCTTCAACTGAGGAATGGATTCAAAAAATGTGGTATATTTACACAATGGAGTATTACTAAGCTATTAAAAACAATGAATTCGAGAGGTTCCTAGGTAAATGGATGGAACTAGAAATTATCATCCTGAGTGAGGTAAGCCAATCACAAAAGAACACACATGGTATTCACTCACTGATTATTGGATATTAGCCTAGAACCTTGAAATGCCCAAGATGCAACTCACAGGCCACATGAAGCCCATAAAGAAGGAAGACCAAGTGAGGGTGATTCGGTCCTTCTTAGAAGGAGCAACAAAATACTCAAGGGAGCAAATATGGAGACAAAGTGAAGGACAGAAACTGAAGGAGGGGCCGTCTCAAGACCATTCCACCTGAGTATCTATCCTATGTGCAATCACCAAAGGTAGATGCTGATGTGGAAGACAGGAAGTGCATGCTGATAAGAGCCTGATATGGATATCTCCTCAGAGGCCTTCAAGAGTCAGACATATTCAGAGGCAGATGCTCACAACTAGCCATTGAACTGATCATGGGGTTCTCAATAGAGGAGTTAGAGTGAAGACTGAAGGAGCTGAAAGGGTTTGTGGCACCATGAGGAGAGCAACAATACCAACCAACCACAGCTCCCAGGGTCTAAACCACCAGCCTGGGAGCACTTAGGGGGGGATCCAGGGCTTCAGCTGAATATGTAAAAGTGGAGGGCCCTGCTGGGCATAGGTGGAAGAAGAGAACCTTGACCTCATGAAGGCTGGATGCCCCAGGGGGTGGGAATTTTGAGGGTGGGGAGGTGGGAGTGGGGGGGTGTAGATAGAGGTTACATCCACAGAGAAGAAGGAGGAGGGGCGAGGGGATTGGGGGTTCCGAGGGGGTGGTGGGGGATGGGGTAAGGGGACAACATAGGAAATGTAAATAAATCATCCAATAATAAAAAAAAAATACGTGGGTGGAAAAAAAAAGTTTTTTCAAATATTGATTGTAGGCCTCTATTCTCCATACCTATGACTTAAAGTCACACAGTCCCTCCAGTTATTTGATATTTTACAGAAATGTATTTCCTATTCACTGTGTTTTTATCTAGCAACTTATTTCATTCTTGAACATTCCTGGACATTCTGTGTCTTAAAGATTTGTTTCTATTACTCTTGGAACAAAATTCCCAGTGAATATAACAAGAAATCCACTATGGACCAAGCTTAGCACAAAATGCATTTTCTAACATTGCCATATATGGCCAAGTGCTTAGTGTTCGGGTCCCTTCCTCTGCTCCTGTCAAGGCTGTGCTCCCCAGGGGCCAGCTGCTGACAGCTCAGCCTCTCTCCCTCCACGGAGAAGAGCCACATTGTTATAAGACATCTGCCACCTTTTAAGGGTGTCAGGCATGTCTGCCTGCCCATGACTCTTTTTTCTTGGTCCCTCATGGCTCAGTCTTCCTTCCCTCTCCCTCCCAACTCCTTCCTTCTTTCCTCTTGTAGTTTTATTTAATACTGAACATGTGCGATCTCAAGCTTCAGATCAATCTCCATCAAGTTGAAAATCTCACCTACAGCACAAAGCTAGGTTTTATTTTGTAATATAACTTGAAAATAGTTTTGGTTTTAGAAGCGACTTAAGCTTCCTTTTTAAAAATCCATTTATATGTGTGTGTGTGTCTGTCTGTCTGTCTGCACTTGTGCTTGCATGGAGGCCAGAAGCTATCATACCTTTTGGAGTCAGAGTTACAGGTGTTTGTGGGATGCTTGGCTCATTATATGGGTACTAGGATCTGAACTCTGGTCATCATGATGGTGCAGTAAGTCCTGTTGAGAGCTGAGCCATCTCTCCAGGCCCTATAAGCCCCTGTTTAAGTGTATATGTTAGTTCAACTCTCTAGGTAGAACAGACATATATTTGTAAATATTATTTGAAGGATTTTTCAAATACTCTACTTCATGTAAGTAATGGAAAAGTTAATTCTTAATAGGCCAAGCTATCTTAGATTTCAGGTTTTTATATTCAAAAATTTCATTATTATGTCTCTTTCAGATGAATGACTAAAGCAGTCCTGACTACATATTTTGTTGTGATTTGAAATTCAATTTGAAATGAAAATAATATATGGAATTTCTAAGTAATTAATAAAAATATTATGTTGGAAGAAAAAAAAGAAAGGAAAAAACACTCCAATTTTGCAATTATTAGAGAGTAGAGATTTTAGCAATCTTACTTTCTCTAGATTAATTCATTTTGGACTTATTGGGGCTAAGCATTTTCATGTGTTTATTGATAGAACCATGTGTGGTTGTTTTTACTGTTGTTGTTGTTGTTGTTGGGTGATGTGACTGAATGATATTGTGTTTTTCCCTCATGCAGGGCGGCCACTGATCACAATTTGGACAATACAACAGAAATACTCAGGGAGTGGCTGAAAAATGTGCAGCGTCTGTATCACTATGTTGAGTGGAGGCCCATGGACGAGCCAGAGTGAGTGACAGGGAGGGATGCTGAAGCTCTTCTGCCTCCTCTGCTCTGTCTCCAGCTAGCTGAGCTTCTGATCTCGAAGGGGGGGGGGCATGTGGATTTTCATTGCTGCCCTTTCTGCATCTGATTTGCAAATGCGGCCTCTTCTTCTATTAATAGATTTGCACAAACTCCCTGTTCCTCCGTGCTCCTGGGCTGCCAGCCAAGCTGTTTTCAACAGCTTGTAAATTATAATGGCAGTATATGTTTTAAATATTGATTCTATTTATTGCTTTTTTAGGATGAACTGCTTTATTTTCGTGAAATCATGGTGAAAGTTTATAAATCTTCCTTACATACCTTACTTTTAAGTTATGTCTTGAAGATTATTGCAAAGCAACCATTCAGGGCACTGACTCACTTTGAACTGCACAGCATCTGTCATAGTCTGTGATTATTTAATCAATATTCTAGTGATGGACACATAGGCTATTTCACTCTTAACATAGAAATTTTTTAGTAATTTCCAGCTCCAAGTCAGCCCATATATTTATATTAGTCTCTATTCTCTTGAGAAAGAGCACTAATAGGAAATACGTAAGTGTACATACAGAGAATATTATATATTGGTGATTGTTTTTTAGACTGGTTTATGGATGGGAGAACAGATAATCAAAAAAAATCTCTCTGTCTGCATGCTAGATAGCCAGAGAAACCAGGAGCGTCTTAATCCATGAAGCTGTAAGCCTTAAAACAAGAAAAAGTGAACTCACAGTCCCAGCTGAAGGCCTGGGAACACCGGGAGGGTTATTTGTTTGAAGTTCCCTTGGGAGGTTGAAAGAGCCAAAGGCTCAATTGCGCGGTGACAGGAGTCAGTGAGTGCTTAGTCAGGGAGCCTGCTTGTGCTACCTCGCCCCCATCTCTTACAGTACCACCCACATTTAGGGTGGGTCTTGCCTGTCACTGAAAAGGCACGCACAGACACACCTGCAGTTTATTAATCCCCTTGGTGTCTCTCAACCCAGTCAAGTTGTCGTCAAGATCAACAATCACAGTGTCATACCACCAGAAAAATCTTCCTAAGATACAAACTTCATTTCTTTATATTACAAAGACTCAAATAGATCTCATTTCCACACAGAACGAAGTCCAAACCCCTGAGACATACAAAGATTCCCATAATTCCTGCTCTTTTCCCCCCAAAAAATATACTTTATCCAGAATGCCAAGTTTATTTCCAACACCCAAGTCTGAGGCACATCCTGAAAGTGGTTTTCTCCACTGTAACCAGCTATCATCCTAAATCACAGACACTAGAGAAAGCGGCCATTTTATTCTTGGGTAAAGAACTTTTTTACTTTGATTGCTTATTTTCTACATTGTCCTTTTGTCACAGTTCATTGAGCTAGCCTTAATTAACTGTGATCTATTCATGCTTTTTGAAATTAACTATGAGCTATTAGCAAGGGGTACAATATACAAACACTTTCTATTCCCCCACCCCTGTGTTTTTAGAAGGCACTAAATCAAAGCTTGCTGGATGAACAAATGAGTGAATAAAATAAAGAATAAATGTATTTTTGTTCCCAAGGCAACTATGATTCCAGTTTCAGAATTTACAGAAATTGAATGAATAAGTAGCCTGTGTTTCTGCACAAGAAAAGCCATTTATTAAGAGCCAAATGTATAGAGTAATAATATCAACAAATGTTATTGCAGAACAAATATATTCTTCTAGACTCTGCCATATACATATATAAATACACATAATAGTTGACTACATATGTGTATATATATCTAAAATCCAAGTCTATGGTCTACATATTAAGCAAATTTATCAATTAAGTTTGAATACTATAAAAGATTGTAAACAGTCCTTGGGTATTTCTTGGATGGAATTTAGCGTACTCTTAAAAATGTTACACAGCAAGACTTTGTGGTCCTACTTTGATTCCCAGATATGTTCTCTGTAGCCAGATTTTTTACTTCATTTATTATATACCAAGGCCAGTGTGAAAAATATTTCATAAGGCATTAATTTTTGGCGATATAGTCAGAAAAACAGGAATTTCAGTAACTTCCACTGAAACAGTAATTGAGGAAGACATTCCAGAGAATTCCTAGGTATATATTTTATTTATATAGTTACAGTCTCAGTGTTTTGTGACTTTTCATTTGTTAAGGCAAACATACTGCCCACATACCTCCAAGGCCATGAAGTGGCAGCCAGCTGGCATTTGTATCCACCTCAGCTCAGAGCTTCAGAAGGATCTAGAGAATGCACTGAATCATTTGCCTTTGTGGCCATTTACGAGTCTAGCTGTCTCATGAATGTCAACAGAAATCTCTAGAACAGTATGTGTCTGCTTCATCACCTCACAAGACAATGTGCTAAAGCACACTGAATCATTTACCGAGATTTCAACAAGTAATTTAAACCTTTGACGTTCATAAGACCCTCATACCTTTACTCTGAATTTTCACACTTATCTAATAAGATACATAAAGTATCTAAAAATATAAGCTTTGGAGAGTACCATTAATACTCTATTAAACATTGTAACATTAATCACTCTATACCAGTATTATCATCTTTGAAATGGAGAAAATGGTAGGATTACTTCATAGGGCACTATTAGAGCCTACTGAAGAAAAGCCAGGCACAGCGGCTATTATACACGTTATAATTAGAAGGCTATGGCAGGAGGATACTTAAATCTAGGAATTCAAGATCAGCCTCAGCAACATAGTGAGACCTTCCTCATCTCAAGGAAGGAAGAGGAGGAGGCCATAGAGGAAAAGAAGGAAAACCCACTGATATATTTTATATAAAGACTGTTATGTTCAGTGAGAAACAAATTTAATTTCACACTGTTCCAGTTTGTTTATCTGTGGTATAGAGATGATGCTTCCTGGTCTCTTGTGCCTGGTTCCTAGAGTGATGGAGGAGTCATTGCACACAAGCACCAAGGGCCAGGTTACATCCATGCAGATGCTCGGTGATTGTAAGTTCTTGTTTCAGGTCTTACCCTGATGAAATTGGACCAAAGCACTGGCCAAGCTCCCGGTTTGCTCACGTCATGAGACTGCGACAGGCAGCCCTTCGAACTGCGAGGGAAAAATGGTCCGACTATATCCTGGTAAAAACAAATGCTTGATTCCTTGACAACTGTTTTCAAAAATGTATCTACAACCGAGAAGTGGTAGCCAGGGAACAGTCAAAACAAGATCTTGTTTAGGTCTCACCTTTTCCATGAAAGGTTCAAGGGGATATTCTTGTGATTAAATAGTGTAATAATACCTGGCCTTCATCTCAGATCCCCTTTGGAATGCTTTTGCAGTGAGTTGTGTGGATGGTGAGGCTTCTGGATGGTGAGATATGTTTCATATCACAGGCATAAGGAGCTCTGAATCATTTTAGTAGGTGAAGCAAGAAAAAAAGTCTTAGTGGCTTTCGTAAGAATTTTAAAAACATAAGAAAAAGATTATATAAAATGAGATCCAAATGAGCACATTTGACACTCTTTCTTTTTATCTATTGGGTGATCTGGGAAATGGAATCTCCTGTTTGTCTTCCTGGACACTGCCTGATTCTCACACAGAATTTCTCTCCCTCAGTAGGTTCCATCACAATCATGAGAGCTTACAGAGTGCTTCAAACAAATGAGGGGCTTGGGAACTAGGGTTCTGTGCACCCTCGTCCTCGATGAACCCCTCAGTTGAAAAGAATCTCTTCTGCCTAAGGAGAAATGGGCCACCAGCCCTTGTCCCAGAAGCCCTTTCTCCATGGGTTTGTTGAGCAGATGTTTTCTATGTGGCAGTGGAAATGAGGCTGGTGTTATCCTAGTACACTTATGGGCATCTGATTATACAGCCTCCGATTCCTGTGTGAAGTGGATGCTTCTAATCTAACGCCACTCCCTGCTCCTCTGACCACTCAGCGAAAGTCAGCTTGACAATGTTTTAGAAACATTGTCAGCACATATAACTTCACAGAAAGTTTAAAATTGCACTATAGTATTTAATGTTATGTGCAACTAGTAAAATGTTAGTAAAATCTACAAATTCTAAACTATAGAATTTTTATAAGTAAATTGATTAACAATGTTTCTGATTATTTGTAAATTATAATCACATAAAATACAAAATCTATTGTTCGAGCTGACATGAACTTCTCTGCTAGCATGGGTTGATAAAATGACATTTAAATAAAATTCCTATTTGTGATATTGTGATAGTACCAGGGATCTGCTCTGACCATTTTGGCACTACTCTCAAAAGCCTAAATTGGTCTCCTGATGAATACTGAGGGTGGGCACTGGGTATGTGTTTGCATGAGTCTGCGTGAGCTTAGGAACCATTGACATCTTGAACTTAAATCATTTGCCAATGTGCAACTTATGTCCTGTTGATTTTCTATGTACCCACTATGGCAGTACCAGTTCAGAACTTACAGCTGAACACGGGAAGTTAGACTAGACATGTCTGACTGATTGAAAGCATCCTAGCTGTAATCGCTGTTAAGGAGGGATAAGATAAGAACCGGCCCTAGGGCTCATGACCCTTCCGTTGTGCTGTTATTGAACCCTAACCTCTTCCCTGACCTTGTCCCTCTCCTTCCCTAGTTCATAGATGTCGACAACTTCCTGACTAATCCACAGACCCTGAACCTAATGATTGCAGAAAACAAAACCATCGTGGCGCCTATGCTGGAGTCCCGGGGTCTGTACTCTAACTTCTGGTGTGGAATCACACCTCAGGCAAGTCCTTTGATTAACTAACGGAGGCTGTGAGGGTTGAGAGGGCAGAACTGTGTGAACAGTCATTCGCTCTTTCTCATCTCCTCTTTAGACATATATGTGTCACTGAAGCAAGCACTTTCAAGAAAGGAGGTAAATCCACATCAAAGATGGATTTACCCACCACAGCCCAGTTGTCATTATTATCAACAGAACATTCTAAAGAGCTTAGTGCTGGAAGTTTCAGTTAACCACTAAAGTATAACAGAGTTTCTATCCCTTTAATCCAGTTCAGGGATTAATTTTTTGCCACTAAAATATCAACATAAGAACACATTAGAATAAAAGTACAAAAAAGTATTTTAAAAAGTTGAACAGCCAAAATTATTCATCCTACCATTATGCCAACACCATAGACAGAAACTTGCATTGCTTTAACGACTGTGTCATTACCAAAGGCTATCGGTAGTTTACTCAAACTGCCTCTTACTTTGAACATTCAAGTTGTTTACAACCATTTTTAACTATTATAATTACCATATTATTGGTGCACAATTTTTTGCACCTACGATTTCCTTAAGATAATTCCTTGGATTAGTTACTAGTTATTAGTTATTAGTCTTAGATACTGTTCTACCGCTATGAGGGGACACCATGAGCAAGTTTTTAAAGAAAGCATTTAATTAAGGGCTTGCTTATAGTTTCGAAGGGTTAGCACACGGTTATCATGGGAGGGAGCATGGTGCCAGGCAGGCAGGGTGCTGGAACCGTAGCTGAGAATTCATATGATCCACACACTGAAGGCAGAGAGAGGAGAGAGAAGAGAGAAGGGGGCGGGGACTGGGCATAGCTTGGGCTTTTGAAACCTTAAAGCCCACCCCTAGCAGCACACCTTCTCCAATAGGGCCACACCTCCTAATCCTTCCCTAGCAGTTCCACTAACTGGGGACCCAACATTTTAACATGAGCTTATGGAAGCCATTCTTACTCAAACCACCAGAGTAATGGGATCTCTGTGTCAAAATTTATTCTGATGGTCTCTGATAAACATCAACAAATTTATTTCCATAGAGTTTTGATGACTGAAACTGACATAGAAGCTTGCTTTTCAAAAAACTGAAATTAAAAATGTGAATTTCTGGGGGCTGGAGAGATGGCTCAGTGGTTAAGAGCACTGACTGCTCTTCCAGAGGTCCTGAGTTCAATTCCCAGCAACCACATGGTGGCTCACAACCATCTGTAATGAGATTTGATGCCCTCTTCTGGTGTGTCTGAAGACAGCGACAGTGTACTCATAAATAAAATAAATAAATCTTTAAAAAAAAAATGTGAATTTCTACCACTTCTTTTTCTGTAGCAAAATCTTAAATTTTAGATATCTGTTGCAGTAAATGCCAATGACAGTTTTACTTCAATTCTTAGTAAATGAAACACATGAACTGACCAGTAAAATATATCACTATAAGACAAAAATGTAATAAAGAAGCAATGTATTCTGATGGCTCTGTCTCTCTTTTTATGTTTGGTTAGGATTTTGATGAGGAATAAGGCCAGTGTATGATGGATACTTAATCATTGGCTTTTGCAGAGGGAATCTTAATTGGTAGGGTATTCTAATTTTTATGATTTAAATAAATGATTTCATACAAAGAGCTACAATGTAGCCACTTGATGAGATGGCTATTAAAAATGCATAATAAGGCAGACATGGTGACCCAGTACTTAGGCTGGAGGCAGGAGGATGAGAGGTCCAGAGTATAGGGCTGAGGAAGTGGCTTCATGTTTCCTGTATGCGCACCAGACCTGCCCATGTCAAAAAAAAACCAGGCATGATCCCATGTGTGCCTATGACCCCAGTGCCTTTGGGAGTGGAGTCAATAGGATCATTGAGATAACCTGTTTTAAAAGAATAAAGAGGAGAATGAAGGAGCCTGATACCTATTAAGGAAAGTATCAGCTCAGAACCACCAAGACCAAGTTCTCAGCACAGATGAGATTTATTCGCCTCAGAGGGACAGAGGGCAGGGAAAAAAGACAAAGGCCAGAGATAGAGGATGAGGGAGAAGGAGAAGAGAACAAGGGAGAAGGAGGAGGAGGGGTGTATGTCTTAGAGGACAAAGGACTGCCTCTGGATAAAGAGGAGACAGACATGGCCTATAAATGACAGTTTATAAAGGTAAAATGGAAAACTCTGTATTAGGATGATGTGTTTAATTTTATTTGGGCATGTAAATTAGGTGAACCAAAGGGAGATTTTGATTGTTGGATTTTTATACTTTGATAGCTGGACCTTGGGTGTCAGCCTCAGAAGGAAGAAGTAGCCAAATAAGGGAATAGACCTTGGTGACTAGCTTTAGGAATGTAATCTAATGGTTTTTATCAAGGCAGAGGAAAGGGGAGGAAGGCAGGGTCTGCCAGAGCCATGCCTGCCACACTTGAGTTGGCCAGAGTCCCTTCAATATTTAATGTTCTCCTGCCCTCCATGTGTGTTCATGGGTGCATGCACTTTCCCCAAACACATTTGTATCATGCACATAACCAGACACATGTTGCATGACAAGACTTTTCCTGGGCAGATGCTACACATATACCTATTTACCTCAGATATGGAGCTCATGACAGACAATGTACAAATACTGCCAAAGCCCAGCTTGGTGAACCATAAGTTTTACCAGGATTTCTTACAGGAATTTAGATGAGAGATTAGTTCCAGGAACAAAGGTGACTCAAAGAGAGTTGTATCACCAAAGCCTACCCCAGCATGGGTCAACTCACAAAAGCTGGGAACCTGTAGCACTCTGCACAGCCTGCAAGCAGCTCAACAGGTTAGAGAATGTCCCTTCCAAATGTCTCAGTTGATCTAAACCACCTCTTCCAGGCAGCTTGGTAGGGGGCAGTTCTTCTTCTCCCAGGCAGCTGGTTTAGTCTCAAAATCCTCTTTGTAGCTTGCCTTGTCTTCTGAGAGAATTCTTTGTAGCTTGGCTAGTCCTAGAAAAAAATTATTGCTTACTCTGGCATGGAGATACCTAGTGAATCTGATCAGTTTCAGGAACTTCCTGAAGATATTTTTAATTGTTTATCTCTCAGCTTAAGAAACTTCCCTGCAGGATAGAATGTTTTAATCTCAAGGGAAACTAATATAACACACACACACACACACACACACACACACACACACACACACACACATACAGAGAAAGACAGACACAGAGAGAGAGACAGATACAGAGAGATTGATTTAAGGCCAGAGAGCACAATGTTGCATGTTTATAAATCCCAGAATCTGGAAAGTAGAGGAAGAAAGTCAGTAACTCATATTCATTCTCAATTGCTTAAGGAAGTTGAGACATGAAATTTGTCTCAATCAGAACAAAACAGAAAACAAGAGTTCAAGGCTAGTTTAAACTACATTGTAAAGCCTTGTCCCAAAAACCAAGTTCTCACTAGAACAGTGTTAACATGACTTTTGATTTTACACATTTGACTCTACCAACATCTCAAATGGCTTGCCGAACTGAGAATGCAGTAATCAGTGGCCCCAACACAGCACTAGACCAGAGATTCCTTATTGGGATTATATATCTTTGTCCTAAGAGCTTTTGAATGATTCTTACCATCTACCTGACTTTGAGGAGGTGACACGTTGATATGTAGAAAGTGTATTCTATTTCTTTGGAGAAAACATTATATTAAGTAAGAATAAACTCTCCATTAACCATCTGCAATGTTCTACTCGGCAGGGCCACTTGGGGCTCCCTGTTGGTGAGTTCTGCTTTGCCACCAGCAACAGGGGTGGGAGAAGGTTATCCTGGTGACTACAGCCTGCAAGTTTGTTAGTTCCTTATTAAAAGCAAGTAGGAGAAATGTGCTCACTTATTTTGCAGAGCAAAACTCAATTCTGTGCAACTTGAGCCAATTATAACCTTCCTCATCTGATTTTGGCTTTCTTCCATTCCAGTTCATTTTCAACTTGGACAGGAATGAAAATGGCCAGTGACTTCATAAGCTCAAGGCAGGCCTACTTTCCAGTTCCTTTAAACACATCCAAAACAAAATGAACTTGGCATGGTGCAGTTAATGAGCAGAACTTATTACCAATAAACTTTAGCTCTTCTGGAAGAGTAAAACAACTCTATTATATCTGCCTCTTTTTATGAAGCATGTTGATTCTCTTTTTCTCTCTGACTCTTTTCTTACCATCCTCTCTCCCAGGATACTAAATGATTCATCGTCCATCTAAATTTTCCAGGTTTCTCATTCTGACATCATTACTCCTAATAGTATTGACTTCAGTCTGTAGAGAACCTCTTGAAGAAACTCACACACACACATCCATTAAAGAACTCTCATAGGCTGAAGCATTAGCAGAAGCCAATGCTCTAAGATCCCATATCTAGCTGGTGGTGAATCTAAGATGAATTAAGATGAATCTAAGATACTGTCTTAGTTAGGGTTTTACTGCTGTGAACAGATACCATGACCAAGGCAACTCTTATAAGGACAACATTTAATTGGGCTTGGCTTACCCATTGAGAGGTTCAGTCCATTATCACCAAAGCAGGAAGATGGCAGCATCCAGGCAGGCATGGTGCAGGAGGAGCTGAGAGTTCTACAGCTTCATCTGAAGGCTGCTAGCAGAATACTGACTTCTAAGCAGCTAAGATGAGGGTCTTAAGTTAAAGCCCACACCCACAGTGACATACCTACTCCAAGAAGGTCACACACACACTCCAGCAGGGCCACACCTTCTAGTAGTGCCACTCCCTGGGCCAAGCATATACAAGCTATCACAGACTCAAATCTTCCGAGTTCCAGTTTTTGATTCTTATTATAGGGGTGTAGGGGTTAGTTTAAGTCAGCTGAGACTGTTCATACCCTGAAAGGTATATCACAGAAGTAGACAAAGGTGCAGTGCCTGATGCTTGGTGCCGACATCACAATCAGAAACACACCATAAAGGAGTAGGCATGCTTAAACACTTAGAACCTTGAGTATCCAGTGAACATTGTGTGCCTCACAGTCATCTTGTGCAACTTTCCAGTCGTCCCCCTGAGCCTGCATCTCCTACAATATGTTTTCAAAGTCCCTTTAAAAGCTTCTACATGCTTTAAAGGATATTGGAATTTATTGTTCATGGTCGTTATGACTGGTACCACTGGAGTAGAGGTCCTCTACAAGATCCTACACCCTACATGGGCTAAGCCTGTGCTATATCACTTATTAACTCTCCGTCATTTATCTCAATCACAGCTGGGGCTCCGTGATTATTTGTTGAATGGACAACTAAGTCTGGATGGAAAACAAGTAGAGTCACACCAATGCTATTGAGAACCACAAAATGAGAGGATAAATTAAACTGTGCTCTCACACCAGAGGAAGTGTTAAAGTGGGGGTTGGGGGTCCCCAAAAAGTGCAGCACACTGAAAAAAAAGACCCGGATGTACATGTAGAAATAATGTGTGTTTCAAAAATGTTAACCAAGTGTATCATAGTCGTTTCAATGCTAGCCAAAACTGGTTGATGCTTTCTTGATGCTAGACATTACTCTAAGTACTTCATAGTTTCACCTTAATTATATGAGAAAAACCTCTGGGGTAGATAATATTGTCTGTTCCTATTTCAGAGCTCAGGAAAGAGACATACCAAGGTCAGGTCAGGTGAGACGCCTATTAACAATAAGGAGTTGAGGAAAGCCTTGAACTCAGAGGGCCTGGGCCAGAACATGTGTCCACACTTGCGTGCTCTGGCCCCTCCTTGTTAATATTAGTCCTTCATATTTAATCATAAGTCACTATCTACTACACTCTGTGAATGTATTAAATCAACAGAAAAGAAATAAAATGGTTCCTGCTATTAAAACCCCTCTATATTTTAAGTGAAGATTAATTTCTTGAGCTCATTTAGAAATTTGTAGTTCATGATAATAAAAGCGGCAACACTGGAGATTTCCATTGCCCTGTGATGGCTTAGAGGGTCCAGATGCCTGGACAGTGATGCCTGACACAGTCTCTCTATGTGCTCTTTTCCAGGGCTTCTACAAGAGGACCCCAGACTACCTTCAGATTAGAGAGTGGAAGAGGATGGGCTGCTTCCCCGTCCCCATGATCCATTCCACCTTCCTGATTGACCTCAGGAAAGAGGCCTCTGACAAGCTGGCTTTCTACCCCCCACACCAGGACTACACCTGGACCTTTGATGACATCATTGTTTTTGCCTTCTCCAGCAGGCAAGCAGGTACTGTTTGTGTTCAGCTGTGGGCTGCCACAGAAACACTGCAAAAGACATGCTTCTGTGTCCTGTGCATATTTTAAAACACACCCATCTCAATTTCTGTTAGAGGCAATGAATTGTTCGTAGTAACCATGCCAGAATCCTCTGTGTTCATGTCCCCAAGCACCAAAGATCTCAAGAGCCGGGGCTGGCAGCCACACTGGACTCCAGTCCTGTTTGGTGAGAATCTAAGTTAATGAAAAGACAAGGATAATAGGGGCCTTGAAAAATCTCACTGACTCTCCAGTACTGTTGCAAATTGCAAGAATCCTATTATTAAATTGAAACCTAAAACAACACTGGTAAAATCTCCAGGCTTCACAAATCAAACTGTTTCTTCTCAGAAATAATCTGTGCCACTGTAGGTGGCTCTGTCCCACAGTTCTTAACAGCTCAGATATTTTTCTGCATTATCATTCCGTAATTCAGGAGGCATTACCCTTAGTTGTAGGATCCAAGATATCTCACCACCCAGGATACACCATCCATCCCGGTAGACACTGGGTTGTAGGCTTCTGCCCCTGTCAGAGTCTAGTCCAGTCCAGAAGTTGAACTCAGCATTTCTGTGCATGTCTCCTTAGCCAGAGTTTAGCAAGAGGTCTCGTCCTAACTGGAAGGGCTCAGGATGTCATCAGTATTCTGTGCAGTCCTAAAACCCAACGCTCTCACACTTGAGAATGGATATCGGAGGTAATCAGCGGTCTCAACCTCCATCTCTGTGGAAGGAGAGGCAAAACCAGACTTAGGTACCTGGTGAGTCACTAGAAAACCATTGCCACTGGAGTTTGTGAGCTTCTTGACAAATCCGCATCAATAGGAAGGAAAGGAGTTTTAGTTTGGTTTGCTTTTCCTTTTTTCTCTCTTTGTTTTCTCCCATTCCCTCAGGGAAGACTAATTCACAAAAACAGGTCAGAAAGATTCATGATGTTACTAAGGAAAACTCTCTTAAGTATGTCGGGCCCTCCTGTCAGCCCTTGGGCCTATTAGCATCACATCATTTGTCCTCTAACAAAATGAGTTTAGAATCCAAGAAGATGGTGAAATACGGGTACCTAAGCTGTGGTGAAAATGACTTTGCAAAGCTCCCTGACAGCTGGGAAAGTTGCTAGAAGACAAGAATATTGATACCAAATCCAAGTTGTGACATGCACATAAAGCCACAGATGTCCCACTCACTGGTATGTGTACATTTGAAAAGAAGGAGAATGTAGAAATGGTGAGGCTGGTTTCCATGTTTGGTCGACTAATTTAGACAGTTTGGCCATAGGCACTTAGAGGCCTTACGCTAAGGAAAGGGCAGGTGCTCTGCATATGGACTGGAAGTTGGCACGAAGGCCCTTGTGTCCATGCTAATCGAAGCTGCTGCTTGAAGTGTGAATTGCTGTGACATCTCCAGGGTCAGAAGCAGAGACACGGCCTTCCTGTTCCAGCAAGTTCTGCCAAGCCTTTGCTTCAGATTCTGAAAAAAGGATGTTCCAAGAAACTAAGCTGTTGATGATGATGGCGATGGTCAGTGCCTAACAAAGATCTCCTTTATGCATCGCACAAGGCATCTTTGTGACCCAGGAATTAAATGATGATATATCTATTTTAAACTAACACACAGGTGTTAGGCCTGGAAGACGATGCAGGCTATGCTGGAACTTTTCGTCTTTGCTGTTTGCATGGTCTGCTCACCACAAATTCATGCACTATTTGTCAGGCTTCCCAGACATATTTGTGAGACATTAAAAGCAGATATAGATCCCCAAGGCTGTTAGCAAATCATCTGCGGGAAACAAGAGGCAGAAAAGGAAGGAGAGGCCCTATAACTATTCCCAGCATTATGTTAGAGTCTGTATTTGTTGGGAAGTTCAGATCCTTAGCTGGGAAACAATAAGTTTTTGAGAGCTATGAACACCAAGGGCCAGGGTAGTAGTACTGACTGCAAATGGGGCAAGAGAGAATGGCTGCCTGGCAGCTGAGTATACTAAGGGTATAGCTCACTAATGTTTTCAAGAGAAGTATAAACGGACCCGGAACTACTTAGCTCATGGCCTATCTCGAGGCCTTTTCTTTCTTCCTTGGGTCCAAAGACAAACATTTGCCTCTACTTTCACAGAGTCTTGGGTGAAAAATAGCTGTAATTCTTTGGTATTCACAATTCCCAAGTTTTCTGGATGGATGTGTGTTATCCATCAGAACATCATTTTTAAAATGTGCCAGAAGAATCAAGTTGTTCCTCTGTACGAGGCAGGACCTTGGGATCACAAACCTTAACCCTACATCTCAGATTATAGACTTCGGCAAACGTGAAAGATGAAGTAATGCATTCCAAGGGTTTGGGTGAGCTTATGTAACTGGAGCAGAGAGCAGATGGTCATAGAAGAGTCTCTGTGGCAATATGAAGATGAGGGTAAAACCTCACCTCCCATGTAGCTAGTAACAATGGTTCTGTATCATAGCCACAGGAGCCCTCTTCTGTATTAGCCAGGCATCTTCCAAATAATTCATCCACTGTGAACCAAGTAAGAAATGTGAGTGGTGGGCAGGAAGATCCGCCTCTGCATCACTTGTGCTGGTCATAAGTGCTTCCCAGGGTAGGGATGGCAGTCTCAGGATCTAATGGCCTTGAGACTAAGCTGTAAGCTCCAGGTGGAGAGAGAAGTTGGAACTGGGCCTTGGGGACAAAGATCTGGTACTAAGGACTTACTATGTGGACCAGTCACAGCCCATGTCTGATGTCCCATCACAGAGATTATCTATCAGTCTTTGTGACTCACATGTATGTGACCTCAGGAAAGCATGTGGTGTCTTCACTAGGAAAACCAAGTATTTCCTTTATAACACTTGCCCCTCCTTCTTAGAGATTCACCAGAAACTGTTACTACAGGATACTCACTCTCAGAGACCTGATGTGATTATCAGTACATCCCCCTATTTTTTCATCACATTATCCATACACATAATTGAAAGAGTCCAGTGGCCTAAGATTTATTAAAATGAACACTCCCAATGTATCACTTCTGAAGATGGGTACCCAAGCATAGTATTAGTGTCTTTGTTTCTAAGTAGCATACACTCCTCTTTTCTTTCATGCTTTCTTTTCTTCTGACTTATATTTCCCCTTCAAAATCAACTCTTCATTATAGAAGATAGTAAGAGACAACTTTTCTTGGCCTTCTATGTAAAAATACATTTTTCCTATCACTTTGTCCTCTTGATGCAATTTAACATGCTGAGTGTTAGGGGTGGATAAGTAGTTTAGTAATTAAGAACATGTGGTGTTCCTGCAGAGGACTTGAGTTTAGTTCCATCATCCACCTGGTGACTCACAACTGTGTACCTTTAGTTCTAAGAGCTCTGATGTCACCTTCTGTCCTCCTTGAGCACCAGGCACACATGTGGTGGTACATGGACATACATATGGGCACTCACAAGTACACACAAATAAGAATAATTAAATATTTTTTAAAAACCTTAAGATTTTTATTATAATCACATGATCCTAAACACCAAGAACACTTTTATATACTATAAATTTTTCCCTTTATCAAACTTAGTAATTCTGTGTGTGTATGTGTGTATTCTGTGTGTGTGTGTGTGTGTCTGTGTATGAAATGGAGATCACTAATACAATTGAAAGCTAATTATTCATTTCCTCTTAGAATATTCAGAATTATCAGCTGTCTACTTTTGCATGTTAGATGATTCCAAGATGTCTGTCTTGAAATCTTCTGGGGCGCTGTGATCTCTGAGCTTCACAGCCATCGACTTGGGACTAAGTTTGCTTCTGTTGTACATCACCTTTCTTGTGTCTTAAGTCTTTTCTGTGCACGGTGATCTTTCTCCTTCTCCCTCTTATTCTCCTCCTCCTCCTTGTCTTTCTCTTCATCATGCAGTAACTTTCTGAGAAAGTGTGATGGAAGTATGATAAATGTTTCACAGATTTGCATTTCACATCTGGAAATGCCTTTCTTGTACCTGCTCACCTGATGGATAGTTTGGCTAAGTATCATATCGCCTTTTAGTGGAAGCCTTGGGAAGTTAAATGATAAAGGGGGGTTGTGTCTAAGTAGCACAGAGAGACAACGTAAGCATTGCCTTTTTCTTCCATGTTTTTAGTTCATTATTTTGTAAAAGTCACATTCTTGTTTGTATCCCCAGAAGTAGTCATGTGAGCAAATAGCACAGCTAGTGAGTTCACTTAAACAAGTCAGAGAAGGTGACAGCACCCAGAGAGACTAACCAGGATCAGTAAAGGTGGAGGACAAAGGCCCCTTTCTCTCCTTGTTCTTCTCTGTTAATGCCCTAAGACAGCTTCACTTGACTTGGCAGGTGTTGAAGCTGACTGCTTGAAATTTCATCTGCCCCAAATAAAGATGTCACTATGTAGATAATTTCCTCAGGAAAACACCAATGGTTGTAGTAATTAACAAACCAGAGGCTTTAGTGCACGGTCCAGAGCTTGGCAGGTTTGTCCTTGCAACTAAGAAAGCTGGGTCCGTGGCTGGGACTGTATGAGGGCATCTTGAATCTTCTTTCTTAGCTGTCTAGCTGAGCAGAGGTGCTTTATAGTTTGCCCCGCTCAATGGTGGGCTGTGGATGCTGAGATTGAATATAACCGAACTAAGACATCACCGGTTCTGCCACACTGGAGGTACTTAATAAGTTTTGAGAGGAATTCTTTTTTTTTGTCATTATTAACTTATTGAGAATTTTGTTCATTGGTGATTCTAAATCCATGCCAGCACAGGAAAACAATAAAACCAAGAGGAATCATGGGAAATGATATATTTCCTCTGTATCTTTTAAATACTTTGTTTTTCATGGACTTGGCTTTAGCTTTGATAATCTGTTAGCCTTACAGGATTTTCCTGTGTGCTTTCATATCAAATATGGATTTCATTCCTTGTCCTCTTCTTATTTCCTGCGTGTGGATTAGAGTGTTTCATTCTGCTCTCTGGAATGGGAATTACTTCTTCCTGTCTGATGGTTTCATGCTTCTACAGTGTCCATTTCAGGTCACAAATGTGCTTTTGTTCTTCGGAAAGAAAAATCAATTTCCTCTGGAGTGAAGAATGGCCCAGCATTTTTAAGAGACTCTCAATTCAGTTTCAACTTTTTAATAAAAGAATATTGTAAAGCTCTATAGACAACTCCCCAAAGAAGCCATTTCAGCATTGAATCCATGTCAGCCCCAGGGAGTCTCCCTCTCTTACTAAGAAGTGTGGTTTTGATTGGTTGACTGTTCTCTCACCTCCTCAGGCATCCAGATGTACCTATGCAACAAAGAACACTATGGCTACCTGCCCATCCCTCTGAAGCCCCACCAGACGCTGCAGGAGGACATCGAGAACCTCATCCATGTACAGATAGAAGCAATGAGTGAGTGACCCAGGAGCCAGGGCAACAGCGCCTAGCTCATTGTCACAGTAACCAGGCCAGCTGTGGCCAGCCGTGGCCAGCTCTGGCTCTCTGCTTCTCTGTCTGACATTTCATGGCTGTAATTCTGTCTAGGTTGAAGAACAGACATTCATCTGCCCCTGAAATCTTAAATTTTTTCTATGAGATACAGATATGACAATGTCAGCTGGGCAGTGGTGGTACACACCTTTAATCCCAGCCCTCAGGAAGCAGAGGCAGGGAATCTGGGAGTTCAAGGCCAGTCTGGTCTACAGAGAAAATTCCAGAGCACTCAGGTCTACATAGAGAAACCCTATTTCAAAAAAACCAACAACAAACAAACAAACAACAAAAAACCCAAATATGATAAGGTCTCAGGGAGCTTCCTATTTTGGTGGATAGCTCGATCCATGAGTAAATATTTGTTCTACAATGCAGTAAATGTTGTAATAGTGTTATGTAAAATGAATTTAAAGCTTATCTTTACTACTTTCTAATGATATGACTCTGGCTCTGGGGGGTGTGGGGGTGCACATATGTGTGCTTGTCCGTGTGTGTGTGTGTGTGTGTGTGTGTGGTGTATACTAACACAAGAACAACAATTATAACTTTAACTTAGCAATAGCTTATGATGTAACATATACAATGCTGAATACCTTTTGTACACTATCTCAGTAATTATCACAATAACTCCATGAAGGGAAACTACTATCCCCCAAATAAGGCTGAAGAAATTCAAGAGTAGGTGAGTCTATCATTCTGTTGGTGGCAGACTAAGTTATGAGTCAATCGTTGTACATCCAAATCCTATGGCCTCAACCACTGTGTTGTCATTGTCACTGAGTCCAGGACAATTTTGGAAATGATATGTTTAATCACCAGTAGCTAAACTCACTGGCAGCCAAAGAAGAAGAGCTAACTGACCCATCAACTCTAGACAGGGTACAGGTGGTGGCTTCCCACAGGGAATCTTTTCTGTGTCTTGTCACAGTGGAGGTGGGCAGGAATGTAAGGCTGGAGCATGGCCAGGAGCACAGGCAGAGGGACCTGTAGTGAAGCAGAGGACATTGGACTTTCCTTGAAGGGAGGGAATTTTGAAGGAATTTGAGCTAAGACATGAAGTTAGGCTGAAATTCAGATTTAGGGAGGTCGCTCTAGGAAGAGAGAATAAATGAGAGAGTCATGAGCCAGCTGGGTGCTGGTCTATACCAGAGCTGAAAAAAAAAAGCAAAAGAAAGTTTTAAAGAGAAGCACACAACTTTATCTTCAGACCCACCAAGTTGTGTGTGAGTACCCGTTTCCCATTCTCTCCACCTATAAATCTCCCTTGTACCATATTAGTCTGGGAACACAGAATACTTCCTGCTGCCTCCCGAAGTTACTGGCTGATGATTGAGTGGATGAACAGATGAGCTAAGGACAGAATGGGGGTTAACTCACTGACAGCACTTCCTTAGACTTCCTCTCTGTGTGTGTGTGTGTCTGTCTGTCTGTCTGTGTATGTGTCCGTGTGTTTAGTTTATGGATGTGTGCACATGTGTATACAGATGTGGCTGAATGTGCCTATGTGGAAAGAGAAGACTAACCACCATCTTCCTCTATCACACTCTACCTTATTGAACCTGAAGTTCACTGATTGGCTGAGCTGCCTGACCAGTGAGTGGCTCAGGGAATCTACCTGTCTCTGTAGCTCTCCCCATCAGCCCTGAGTTACAAGCATGCACTATCTCATGCCTGACTTTTACCTAGGTTCTAGGATTCGAACTCAGGTTCTCATGATTACATTTTGAGCCCTTTACCCACTGAGCCATCACCCCAACAGGGCGTATGTGCTGTTTCTGTCTCTTTTCACATGTCTCAGGCCCAAGGGACACAGTTGTTATTTTGTTGCCTTGTATCTCAAATACCTCACATAGTGCTCGGTATATGGTTGGGAGCAAAGAAATGTTTCCTGAATGTATGATCAGAATGAATTAATAAAGGAATGGAGACTGTATTGACCAGAGCACTGAGCCTGGAGCCTGAAGAGTCATCTTGAACCCAGGTTTTGTCAGCTATGAGGAGAGAATCACTTCAGTTTTGTTTTTGTTCTTTCTTTGTAAAGTAAAGATAACTAACTTTGAAGAACCAAGAGTAAAGAATGATGTGTGTGTTTGTGTGTGTGTATAAAATCAGCTTCATAAAATAATAAAGTGTGAGAAGTACAATATACACATACATAATGAAGTATGACAATTATATATCACATATATAATAAACTTCATAAAATAATCGTGTGACAATTACAAATATATATAATCAGGTTTATAAAATGAATTGAAGTGTGACAATTATTATGATTCCATCTAGCTCTTTATGAAAATGCTAACACTTATTATTGCTATCACATGGCTTACAGCCTCGACTCCTAAGCAGATGGCAGCTCACAGAGTGACCGACTAGACCTTGTACTCACTTGTTTTCTTTCACATGCCTGAGCATGGGAAAAGTTCTTCAACACGTGGTCAATATAGAACTTAATGATCATAGTTTACAAATATGTACAGCCCCTTGTCTAACCAGGTAGACTTCATCTGAGGAGAGCCTGTGAATTCTGCTTTTCACTCTGCTCTCCCCACACATGGCCACTCAAGCGACACATGTATGGAATCTGATTTAATCCTTGCATTTATTGTTTCTGATAATAACTCTGATAAGTGTTCCCATCTTCAACTTTACAGTACAGGACATAATTGAAATACTAAGCCAATTGGAAAGTCACAGGCCACTCAATGAGTCTAAAATTAAACTCACGGGGTTTTCACACAGACCTCTCCTTTGATCTCAATGATTTGTTCCATTAAAGAACAAGGGTTGATGCTTACAGTGCAAAAATGTGAACTGAAGTCCCATGTAGGGAGGATAACGTGCTGGTAGTGATGAAATCATAGCTATAAACTTTCTAAATAGAGGCGAATGAGATATTAAACTACCCAAGATCTGGATTTCCATAAGCAGTAGAAATTAGCTACTTAGCAGTGCTGTTGGGAAGTAATGATTGAAGCATTAGAACATGTCATTTTTAATGAGGAGATGTGGGATGCAAACCTGTGACATATGTCAGTTCACAAAGGTATCAGGAAGTCAAAGCATTTTATACCCAACCCTCAGTTTTCAGAGGATCACAGTTTAATTGAGGAGTCAGGACTAATATTTAAAAGACACTAATGATACAGTGTGTGATGCACTGAGCAGATGCAAAGGCAGCAGGACTTTAGACCACAGAGAGGTTGCTGTGTCCTGTGTGTTCACACCTAGCCCTGAGGCTTCTTCAACTGATGTTGGGTAGAAGTGAGAAGCTCAAACAACAGGACTGATACAGTCAGGACACCACAGGATGAAGAAGGAGACAAGCAGACAAATGACTTCCATCCTGAAGAAAGTGGGCTAAAACGTTAGAAGAAGCTAAAGTTTGAGAGGTTGAAGTGGCTTGAATGAAGTGGTCTTTAATTGGACAATTCAGATAAAGTAGAATATCCATCCTAAAGAAACAAAGAAGGTTTTAATAAAAAAGGATCAGGCTATATAAACTCAGTACACACACAGTGCATAATTTCCCATAATAATGAATTATAGCAATGGAGATATCAAGCAAAGCCTTGCCACCATGAATTTATATTTTAACATAGATATAGGTAATATATTAAGGAAGATTCCATGAATCTTTGGGGGATGAATTCCAAGCAGGAAGAACAATACATATAAAGACTACTAGAGAGGAGAAACCTTGGGAGTGGTCCAGGGCCAGAGGCCAACACGGTGAGGAGCAAGGCGCTGGATACCAGGAGATGACGTCACGGAGGAATGCAGAACACACTGGCCATGGCAAGGGACTTGGATTTTATCCTAAGACCAATGTGAACCCACAAGGCGGTGTGATGTGAGTTTCGTGTTTTAAAAGATCACTTGAGCTGTGGTATGTGTATTACAGTATAAGGAATTAATACATAGCTCAGGTTAAGAGATGTTACTCGTTGAGATTTGAGCTTTAGCAAGAAGGTAATGAGAAACAGACAGGCTTGAGGTGCATTTTAATAGCAGAGCCCATTGTACTTATAGGAGCTTGGAGGCAGCCCATGAAGCCATGGGGAAATTAAGAATGACTCTAGCATTTCAGTCCATTCAACTTATTGAGTCAAAAAAGGCTTCACTTCATCATGTATGCTTGAAGTATTTATTCCAAGTCTGAACAGAGGCCAAGAGATAAGTGGACATACAAATCTATGGGTTTAGGGAAGAGTTCCACAGAGAAAGAATTTAAGACCCATAACACCAAAAGAACATTTGAAGCCAAGAAACAATGGGATCTCATGTAGTAAAACTAAAGAGGATAGATCCCCAGAGTAGACTAAAAGCCATAAAGCTGGGAAGAAAAGGGGAGTTATGTTTTGAGATAGAACCAAATGATGTTAGGAAGTGAAGTAAAACGAGGCCAAAGAAATGATGCTCAGTAATGTTGGGCTGGAACTCGGTACCATCTATGACGGCTCATGCCTGTACTCTGGTCACTTAGGAGGCTGAGGGAGCAGCCTTGAGAGTTTCAGGCCAACCTGAGCCTCATAGAAAGTTCCAGGGTAGTCTAGAGTACAGCGTGAGACCCTGTCAAGAAAGGACGGGAGGAAGAGAAAGAGAGCTGTGTTACTGGTTTTGGTAAGAAGTACTTTAATGCAATGATTAGGGACACAAGCTGATGAGAATGGCCCAGAGAGAAGATGGAATGTTGATGGAGTGTGGAAAAAGGATATGGGCAGAACTGCTGGGAGTGATTTGTTTTATTTGTCTTTGCTTTTTGACTTGGTTTCTTAGTGTTATTCATTTGCCTAAGTTAAGAGTCCTACAGTGTGTCTGTGTGCTGATCTCAGATAAAGGGGAACTTGATAGTTTGGAACAGAAGGTATCTGTAAGACTGAAATTCTTGGGAAAACAGTAGCTATCACAGCCTAGGACAATAGTGTATAACAGTAGTTCTTAATCTGTGGGTTATGACCTGTTGGGGGGTTGTATATCAGTTATCTTGCTTGTTAGATATTTACATTAAGATTCATAAGAGTAGACAACTATAGTTATGAAGTAGCAATGGAATAGTTTTATGGCTGGGGACCACCACAGCATGATCCCCAACAATAGAATTGGGTCTCAACATTAGGAAAGTTGAGAACCACTTCTCTAATGGTTGTGTTCAGTAGAAACAAGAATTGTGTCCCTTTACAAGTAGAAAAGCAGAAATGTGCATGTGGTTGGCTTTGGGGGTTAAGGAGAGGGCAAAAATCTAATTGGATTCTGCATATATTCTTGGACTTGGGAAATTTGTTGGAGATTCCAGAAAAATCAGGGTATAGAGCAGATCTCTGAAACACTAGAAAGTGAATTTACTGTTGGAGCCATGTTTGATGGGGTCACTTGCCAATTTAGTATTATGATTTGTCACTTTGAAGTAACTCACATGGTGAATTTGTATGTTTGTCTCCTGCTATGGTCTTTTGGATGCTGAGTGAGTGCTCAGTTGGGTATAACCAGCATTAAGGTCTTATAAAACAAATGTCAAATGGTAGAAAATTAAGAATGTTAACAAGAGAATGGCTAGGATGGTAAGCAAGGTAAGGAGTCTGAACACAGTAGACATGAGTCATAACACTGAGGTATATGGAGAATTTGGACATGTGCTTCCTGTGAGAGAAGACTGGCAGGAGGCTGAATCTTGTTAAGGTAATTGTTAGTTTCAGGAATTTCCTGAGACTTGTGAGTTGTTTGCTTCCTGAGTCCCAAGAGCCTACCTCCTAGATAGAAACTGCCACACAACAACCACTATCAGTTCTGTTTGTGTGACCATGGTTGTCTCTGTGTATATGTGGTATATGGATCACATGGATATGTATGCCCCTACATGTGGAAGCCAGAAGTTGATATTGTGTGTGATTTACTGGTGTTCACAGCATCTCATACTAAAATCAGAGCTTGCTGATTGGCTGAACTGGCTAGCCAACAAGTTCTGGAAGTCTGTCTGTCTCTCGTGCTCTGCTTCAGGAGTTACAGATGTGCACAACTGCACTGGGTTTTACATCGGTGAATTTAGGTCTCCACGCTTGTGTAGCAAGCACTATACTAAGATATCTCCTCAGCCTCACTGATAGTTCTTTAAGCACTTCAGCAACCAGCTCGTACATAAAATTTTTGTCATCTTATAGTATGAAGGGAAATCAAATTAATACTTGAATTTATAGAAGATTAATAAACCTTCAAGGCCTTCTCAGGTTCTTTATCAAAAGCATTCCCAAGTAGGAGAGTATACAGTATATAAAGATGACTTTTTTAAAGCATTGAAGTAACTTTTAAAAATGTGTCACTTGATACAATGTCCCACCTACCTGAAATCATTTATACTCTTGTACCAAGTTCTGGGACGTGAACCAGCACTTAGAGCTAAGCTGGGGTTAAAATGGGTATTTCACACACCTACAGCCACCCCTATTTAGATAGAATAAAAGTGGTCCAAACTTTGGAATTTTCAAAAGAGTAGAAAACACCATTATTCAAGAGAAAAGATTATGTTTTGTAGTTCTTTTCCCATGGATCACAGTAGGTAACAGTTATAAGTATTATAACAGTTATAAGTGTACTGAATAGATTTGCATGCAGGTCTCACCCAAATCTTATAGTACACTGAGCGATAGATACGTGTATTAACCCAAACTTACATATAAAGAATCAGATCTCCAAGGCCTTCTAGACTAAGGGTTGGGTTCAACGGCTCTGATTCCTGAGCCTTTTCTCAATCATCACCCTACATGGCTGCCATCATATTCTTAGAATGAGTGCTAATGAAACTGGAGCAAAGGTTTCCATGTGCAAATGGACAGGAGTTCTGAAGCCATTCCTCTGACCATTAGGGTCCCTGTGAAGTTGCTCAGTCCTGAGGAACTTCAGAACATTTGTCCCCTGCCCTGGTTTGTCAAGCGTGGCTCTCAGCCCTAAAGACTGGAGTGGTGGTAGAATTCTGTTTCCTGACCCTTTCTCTAATAAAGCACTCTGTTTCTTCTGTTTTCCAGTTGACCGTCCTCCAATGGAGCCTTCCCAGTTTGTGTCAGCTGTCCCTAAGTATCCAGACAAGATGGGATTTGATGAGGTAGGAGAGCGTCTCTCTCTCCTCACCTCTCCCCCCCCCTATCCCTTTGTCTCTGTGTGTGCTCCTGCCCTTATGTGGACATGTGTGCGTTAATATGCACATGTGTACAGAGATTTCTGTGTTTATGCTGGAACAGAACACAGAACATCTGTCTGAGTGCAAGGAGGCAAGTTTGGCAACTGGAAAGACCCTGAGGACTTGGGTTTGTTGTCATTCTGTTTTCTGGTCTTTACAAAGGAGAATCATAGAAAATTTAATCAGAAAGAATTATTTGGCAATGAATGTAAATTCGCTATATATTTTAACAAACTTTGTATTGAGGTTCAAGGGTAAGGTAAGGAGAATATATGTTTCAAGTTATTGGAGGATATTAACTTTATTCTGCTGTAGTTGAGTGGAGGGAAACTATTCTAGAATATTCTGATTTGTTTACTTTCTGCTTTTCTTCCATGGAAAAAGGTTGGAGGGAAGAGTTGAAAGGACTAATGAAGAGAAAAACTTGTTCTAAAATTCTGTCTTTCCACAGGCAGGAACTTTAGTTTCTCCAGGGCCATATCTACTGTGAAGTTTTAAGTATATAAATAGCAAAGCAGAGGTGGGCTTTTAGCTCAATGGTAGAGCGCTTTCTTAGGATAAGAGAAGCACAATGAAAAGGGGAGGGGAAGGGAGAGACAGAGTGATACAGGAAAGGGAGAGAGGGATGGAGGGAGGCAGAAGGGAAGGGAGGAGGTAGAAGGGGGAGGGAGGAAGGGAAGGAAGTAGGAAGGGAGGGAGTTAAAGAAAGAAAAAAGAAGGAAGGAAGGAAGGAAGGAAGGAAGGAAGGAAGGAAGGAAGGAA